AGAGAGAGAGAGAGAGAGAGAGAGAGAGAGAGAGAGAGAGAGAGAGAGAGAGAGAGAGAGAGAGAGAGAGAGAGAGACTCATGCATGCAGATACTTACTTGTCTCTGACTTGATCGAGGATTAGGAGCCTTGGTCCTGGAGGGATCCTCACATCTCTAAGTGCACTGCAAATCAAAGAAGAGCAGGTGTTAGGAATCACAAAAACCAGAGAGCTGAGACACACCCACACTTCAAAAATGATCTTATCTTCTCCTCGATGGCAGCTCAGGTAACCGTCACGACACAGTGTTGCTTTTGCTAAGTTTGCCGCTATGTTTCTGCTATGCCTGTGCTATGTTTCTGCTATGTCTGTGCTAGGTTTCTGCTATGTTCGTGCTATGTTTGTTCTATACTTGTCCTAAACCATGTTCACAACCAGCTTCATGCTGACTCAGCATGTACATATGCACCAACAAAACAGAAAACACCTGGTGCTCTGTTATACATGCAAGTTATTATCTTATAAGTTGATGATATAACCAAACTATCTAAATTCAAGAATCTTAAATCCAGTCAAATCTTGTATTCTGAAGCAAGCAACAAGTACGCTATTGTTTTCTAATGCTTCAATTGGATCAGAAGACGAGCCACGGAATCCCATCCCCCTTCCACCCTCCCCCTCCCTCCCCACACCTACCCAACGACCTATTTTCCTGCGCCTGAAATCGCTCCTTCCTCGCTGACTCTCTAATGAGTCTCGATTCCATACAGATCCCTACCTGCTCAGCTATGTGGGAGAGTGAAGGCCAACCAACAGAGACTCAACCCAGAAAGAGGGCAGCAAAACTGCATGGTTGCACTGAGGACAGGATCCAGGTCGGCTGCAGGCCATACCTGTCATTTAGAAGAGGCAAGGTTGCATCTGTCAGCAAGCCCTTTCTGAAGTTCTTTTCGTACTTCTGTAGGCCGAGATGGGCCAGCATCATCTTCGTATTTAAGTACAACTTGTCATCGGCAGGAGGTTGGGTGAACTGTTGGCCTATCTGCAAAAAAAAACACCCATAACAGCCAAGCACAAGGACACATTTTCAGAGACGTTTTCAAACGGAAGAGGAGGAGGAAGAAAACCAATGTGAAGTCGACGATGACAAAAGACAAAGGCCGAGAAGAAAATGAAGAACAAGGAAAACAGAAGAAAGAGAGGAGGAAAGGGAACAGCGAGAAGATGAAGAGGAGGAGGAGAGGAAGAGGAAGGAGGAGGAGGAAGGAGGAGGAGGAAGGAGGAGGAGGAAGGAGGAGGAGGAAGGAAAGGAAGGAGGAGGACAAAGGAAAGGAGGGAGGAGGAGGGAGGAGGAGGGAGGAGGCGGGAGGAGGAGGGAGGAGGAAGGAAAGGAAGGAGGAGGAAAGAAAGGAAGGAGGAGGAAGGAAAGGAAGGAGGAGGAAGGAGAAGCAGAAGAAGGGAGGAGAAGGAGGAGGAGGGAGGAGAAGCAGGAGCAGGAGAAGAAGAAG